GACTGATTTTCCGAGGAGCACCTTCGTCTAGCCGGTCGAATCTATATGGGAAAAGGTATAGCCATTAATCCTTGCCTCTTCTGCTAGCGCGTCCGCTCGACCCTTCCTACTTTGAGGAATATGAGACACGCTCACATCCTCAAAATTCTCATGTAATCTCTAGAACACTTTGATCTCTGTCGTGAAAGTCGGCAAATCCTATGGTTTTGTAATCATGTCCACTAGGTCCGAGCAGTCCATCTCAAAATTGTATCGAAGTTATCCTCATGTGTCTCGTACATGAGGCTGTCCAAAGTCCATCTCATCATACAAAGCTGAAAGGCTCCTTTTGCACGTCCGTAAACCAAAGGCATCTGAACCCATTTGATTCTTAAGACTCCATCATAATCCATTGACATTGTCATTATGGCGTATCAATTTGGCAGGTAGGAATTCAGGGTATCCAAAGGGATCCTGCCTCGACCTTTGTAAAAGGAGGGTTGTCATGGTCTTCGTTTGTTTCCTCCACCAGATACCAATTACACCGTCCAAATCTAAAATAAACAAGTCAAAATACTTTCGCCAAATTTCAACTCAAACTGAGAAAATCACACCGTCAGATTTACAAAACACTCAAGATAATATTGCTGAAGAACTATGCTGATCAACGTCACTAAAACTCAGGCAACAGAAGAACCAACCGCTAAAATCTAATATCTTCTATGAAATTCTAACCCATTAACTGAAGTGGCTTCCCACTGAATCTCAGCCCAATCATGATCCGTTTGATTCTCCAAATCTACCTTGACAAACCCGATACTAATCCCATGGACTAATACTAATGGTTCAACACTAAACTTAGTTATCACTAGTCACACCCATTTGAGGAACTAAACACCAGCTCATTCCGCTCTCTGCATAACTCCGTAAGAATACTCAGTGACATATTCTAAAAAGTTTTAAATGTGTTAAGATCAAAACTCATGTGCGATGAGAGGGTTTGTAGGTTGGCGAATGTTTTTTCTTAACACTAAAGGCTCATTATCATTGCAATAACTTATACATGGGTGGGATACATTTGTGAAACTTCACTGGGGTAAATCTACTCAGTCCAAGAAGGGGCAGCTGCGAACAGTAAAAAAATGAATTAAATTAAAATGCACCAGATTAGTAATGATTTTGCAGCCTAGTTGGCTATAACCTTCTCTATACCCCTACTGACCAACGTTCGATTATCAATCTGCCCTGTTTTCACTGTTTTTTTTGTTATTTTTTCTTCCTTTACTTTACGATTTCTTTCCTTCCACCTGTTATAAACTTATAATATATCTTTCTCTTCTTTTAGTTCTTTTTTCATTAGTTATGTTCATTCAAATATTTTTTTCTACAAATAGTTCCAGTTTTTCTTGTCATTTTATTTTTAATAGGTTCATTCTTTTTTCTTTTAGTTATAGAAAATGCTTTTAGTTAATTACTTTTGTGCCCCCACTAATTATATTTTCTGAAGAGTAATTCTTGGGTACACCAACCAATAGGATTACGTTATTTTATATTCAGTATCTTTTAAAAAATAAAATATTGTTGAATTATATTATATTTTTAAAATTTAAAGATAAAATAAATAAAAAATAATAATAGTTGCAAAAAAAATTAATTTAAAATTTTTTTAATACGTTTATTTGAACACTAAACCCTAAATCATAAACCTTAAAACCCTTCCGTAAAGCCTAAACCCTCATATAAATCTTTGACTTTAAAAAATATTTTTAATACTCTCACCAAAACATTAAAACATAAAACCGAAATCCTAAACCCTGAACTTTTGGATAAACTATAAGAGCACCCACAATGGCAAATCCTTAAAGGGAGTTCTTAAGGAAATATTAATTTTATAGTTAGTGGGTCCCATTAACAGTTAAGGATTATATCTTTAAAATCCTTATTTAAGGATTGATCCTTAGACTATTTGTGGGCTCCACTGTCCACGTGGTGGCCCGCGAATTGTCAGTTTTTTTTTAAAGAAAAAAAAATCTGAAATATCCTTATATAATCCAAAATACCTTTTTTCTTTCTTAAGGATTCCCCTTAGGGACTTCCCATTGTGGATGCTCTAACTCCTTGAATTAATCATAAATTTTAGGGTTTAGAGTATAGGATTTAATTTTTAGTGTTTTTTTGTTTGAATTTTTTATTAATTTTTATCTTTTAATTTTAAAAACATAGTATAACTCGATAATATTTTGTTTCAGGCTAGATGCAGCATTATAACTAGAATTGATCAAAGAAAAGAGGTTACACTTGATACTGCGTCTTTAACGTCGAATCTTTCTTGGTTAGCCTCTTGGTTAGCCTTTAAACTAAGATGTTCTTTTGTCACACGGTCTATATCTTTTACTAGTTTGTCACCCCGTACTTCGTACGGGTACTCTTCATTGCTTTTCCAAAAAACTATAAGGTTAGTTTTCTTTCTTTCTATTTTTAATAAAAGAGTTATTTTTCTTTTTTTGATAAAATGGTTATCGGTAATTAGTAAAAAAAATGTCTTCTTTAGTTCAGCTTAATGGAGACGACATTAATATTTATTTTATATAAAAGTAAATCTGAATAATTTATTATACATAAATTTAATTTAGTAAATAAATTAAGAAATATATACTTACTATTCAGGTAGCATTTCAAAGTAACCACAAAAAGGAATGATCTTATATTCATGACTACTTTATCATTTCCAGAACAAAAAACAAAAGTCAATCCGAAAGAAACAATGCAAAATATACTACTTCTTTATGATAAAAAAAAAGTTAGTAAGACTGAAAATACAATATTATACCTGTAATACCAGTTTTGTTGATATCGTTTGGGTACTGTTAGATTCTTTGCTCTTTCCACATTTTTTTTTAAATCTGCATTAGTGCATCATCATTTATTAGCTACAGTAAATAATTTATTTAAGCATGCAAAGCCTACAAAAACAAAATAGAGATTTTTGAAGAGTAACATATATAAGACAGAGACCAACTTTGATATATCTATTTTTTCTTCTTGGACTAAGATTTATCGTTTTGAAAAGGAACTATAGATTTGAACTTTTGAAAAAGGCCCCGCACGTTCGTGAGTGAAGTTTTATAAATAAACGTCATGGTAGACGTAGAGAAAAGAGTAAGATCCAAAGATATTAAGAAAAAAATAAAATAAAAGTTTGATATGCATAACAATTTATCTCGGAGAAGAAGCCTTGCATGCCAACAATCAGTTTGTGGGTTAGAGAAAAAGAAAAATGTGTTTTTAGCAAGACGCAGTTATAAAATAACCTCTCACAAATTAAAATAATAAAAAATAGGTGGTTATTTAGATATTGTTGGTATAGTGATTGTGGTTTTGAAAAAAGAACCGTCGAAGTGGCCAGATATTTTTCTTCTTGATTTTGTTAGATAAACGTTTAAACATTTTCTTCTTGATTTAACTAATTACTTATTTTATTTTAATTTATTTTGTTTTACCAAATTAAAAATAACCTCAGGCATATAGAAATACATACTAAGCTTCTAGTTTTATTATATTAAATACTATTCAAAATAATCATTTAGGAGTTTGTACCAATTCGATATTTAAGATTTTTTCAATCATAGAATTTCAGCAATAATTATTATTTAAAGAGAAGAAATTAGGTTTTGGTATATACCCCTTTGAACCTATCAATCAAAATGTGAGCAGAATGTGGGAATTGAGAGTCCTTAGTTTGTTGGAGTCTTCTTCTCCTTCATTCTTCTTTAACCATTGTCGATTTTTTTTTATTTAAGTAGAGAACTCCTTATAAGTTTGAAGATCTTCTTCTCATCATCACTTTTCGGCAGTTCCAGTGCGATACTTAGAAACATAGATGACATAGATGCATCTTTCAGTCGAGCACATTTGGTTCGAGAAAGATGCTCATCGCGTGAAGCCGTGGTAACAATAATTTCTCTGCAAAAAAAAATTAAAAATAATTCAAATTTGCATATAAGAAGATAATTAAATGCAAAGACTTAAAAGTTAAAACTTTATTCGTTACTCTTTTGTTAAACAACTATTAACAATTGTGTGCCGGCAAATTTCCGTAAACCATCTATCACTTTCGCTTTATCTTTTCCAAAGTAATTTTGTACACAATATCGATTGTTTCTGCAACTTCAAAACGTATTTAAGAGTAAAACAATTTATAGGAAAGATGAAATTAAACTGCTTGAATAATTTTAAAACAATTCTTTTGTCGAAGTGATTTGAGTGTTTATTTATAGTAATATAGTTATGTGATGGAGGATGTAGAGATCGTGTTTGTAATGGTTAAAGCAGTTGAAACATTTTTTTTTTACGTGGAGAAGAAAGAAACATTTTCTTTCTTTAATAATTGATATGTTTTTAAATAAAAAATTAAACACATGTCAATATTTAATTGGTTGTGTGACTTGCGCTTTAGTATATAAGAGATTATCTTTTGCTTCAAATTCTTGGAGCTCAAAAAATGCATACTGATCTGTTTGATGTGCCTGTGAATGTTTCCTGTCTTGAAGAACAAACTATTTTTCCTAATGGCTTCGTTAAACCATCCGGATAACTTACATTAAAATACTTGTTCTCATGTTTTAAAATATCCAAGTTCACATCCATATCCGTGAAAACCACGGTATTTACTCCTAGTATGTTAGTCCGAAACAAAGGTCCATACCTGCAACATTCACACAACAAACAAACATACAAGTTTCATCTCTGTAAGGAATATATATACATACAAGATTAAAATCTGACCTTGGCAACTTCTTCTTGAGAAATGGAAAGATCTCATACAAGTTTATTTGTTCACTTTTTAAATTTTTTTTATCTCGTGTGTATTGGCTGTTGTGTCGAGGTGTAAGAATATAAAGTCTAAGCGAATATTTTTGTTTCTGTGATTAAAATGCAAGCAGTAGATATAGTTCCATGTTGTGTTTTTCTAGAGATAAAAAAAAAGAAATATAATCTATTGTTCGGAATGAGAAACTCATTTAGAGACGTAGCCTCTGAGAGTGTCCTGTTCTGTTCTGCTGTAACTGCTGAGACTGATCACATCTCCACACCTTTTCAGTCATTCTCGCAACCTCTTCCCTCTTTGGCCATGTCTCTGGGTTTCTTGCGACACGAGCTGAAGCTTGTGAACCTTTTCCTCTTCAAGACCCGAATCCTATTGGTCCTTTCATAATGAATTTGCTGGTCCGAAATTCATTACTCTCAAACAGAGGCGACACTTCATAATCTTCTTCTACAGCATCCCAAAGATCAAGAGCATTGATACCAATTTTAAGCAATATGAACTTGGTAGTTATATTTCACACTTCACAAGTACAATTTAAGTAGCATTTTAGTATCACAATCACTTACAGATGTCGCAAACACAATCACTGGCTTACACATATGGTATCATAGCAGAAGATAATTAAAACAACATAAATATTACTATAATCTTTTCAAAAGTAAAAAAAAAAAAAAAAAGCAAGGAAGAAATTAAAGATAGATAGACGATGGTGTACTCGTCGAATTAAGTCACTTGGAACACTTGGAGATGTTCATAAAGATTCCTCTAGGGAAGAGAGTACCTGGCGCCCGAACCACCTCGCAGTCTTTGGACAAGGAGAAATCATAAGTGGTGACAAGATGATGAAGGAATATTGAAATCTGAAGCCTCGCAAACTCTGAACCAGCACATTGTCTTACTCCAGCTCCAAACACCATGAACGTTTTTGATCCCGACCGTAACTCTTTCCCCTATCCACCAAACTCATTCTCATCATCGAATATATATTGCAATTAACAGATCTAACTAAGAAAATAATGTACATATCATGATATAATACCAAAAAAAAAATTGTAGAATTTAATTTGCTGTTAATTTAGGATACAAACATAAAATAAGATATTTTCATAACCCAAAATGCATAGACTAGAGTAAGTGTATACTGTTAAATACCTCCCATCTCCATGGATTAAACTCAAAAGGATTTTCATAGATTTCGGAATCAAGATGAACCACCGAAGGTATAACCATCACTATCCAGCCGGCTGGAATCGTGTATCCTGGAGTAGAAATATTTGCACAAAAAATTGTCAACTTCTTGGATTCTAAAGTGCTACACAACTACTAGCACTACTTGCCTTTGATTTCCACGTCTTGCACCACTTTTCTAAACATCATAGGAGCCAAGTTTGTCAATCGAAGCGACTCATTTATAACCTGGAAAGTGTAAAAAACAAGGTGCACCATGTGAATCTAACAATATCCAGTGGGTGTCATTGTTTTTTTTTTTAATATTGCTTTTAGAAGTTTTAGAACTTTATAAGTTTGAAAAGGATTGTAAAAATATTCTAAAGCCACAAATTGTTGGCTTTAGAAAAAACTAAGAAGTCAAAATACAACCAAAAAAGTTGGTTGTGAGAAAATTTAGGTGGACTTTGAGATTTTAAAATTTTAGACGAAAGCAAAACTGAACCTACCATGTTGGTGAAAGTCATCTTGTGTCTATATTCTTCCCAAGTAACTCCACCTTGTTTGTCTTCTCTGCTTGCAAGGATCGCCTCATGCTCTCTCTGCCAAATTACATTGCATTGGCCAATGAGTGGAAACAATCTTCCGTGACTACTATCACTTTGTTATGCAAAATTTACTAGCTTCTCGATCCATGTGCATATATTATTACGTACCTTTAATTCAGCGAGAACTTTAGGGTTTTCCGATACGAATTTTACAGCCATGCAAGTGGCCTTAGAGGTAGTATCTTGAGTGATACAGCAAAGAGTGAAGATGAGGCATACAATCACATCCTCGTTTACTAAGCTTCCTTCTTTCTCTAACTCTTCCAACGTCGTCTCGAGGAAGTCATCATACTTCTCTCTTGACGTTTTCCTCCTCGCATAAATATCCTTCATCATCTGCATCCCATCTTTACATGCCTGCAGCATATAAGATGATAGAAATGATGTTCGTGTTACACACCGAGAAAACAAAAAGCATGCATGTAGTAAAATACGAAAAATCTCACCCATAGGGTGTTGTAGAGACCCCTCACAGCAGAGAGCTTATAGGAAGTTCGAAACCAATCAAAACTGAAGGCGTTGAAGTTTTTGATAAGCTTTGATTGAGTCTCTGGTTTGAGATTACTTATCACCTTTGGTGTCAAGTGGGATGTTATCAACTACAAAATATAAAATAAAATACGACAAAGAGTGTCAGGCTTGCATGCAACATATTATAACTAGAATTGATCAAAGAAAAAGAGGTTACATTTGAAACTGCGTCTTTAACGTCGAATCTTTGTTGTTTAGCTTTTAAACTAAGATGTTCTTGTGTAACGCAGTCCATATCTTTTATTATCTTTCGCTTCAAATTCTCAGAGCCCAAAAGACGCATACTGATATGTTTAATGTGCTTGTGGATGTTTCCTGTCTTGAAGAAGAAGCTATCTTTTCCCAGTGGCTTCGTTAAACCATCTGGATAACTTAAACTAAAGTACTTGTTCTCATGTCGTAAGATATCCAAGTTCACATCCATATCCGTCGAAACCACGGTTTTTACCCCAAGTATGTTAGTCCGAAACAAAGGCCCATACCTGAAACACTTACACAACACATAAACATCGATCTCTGTAAGGAATATATATACACATACAAGATTGAAATTTGACCTTAACATCTTCTTCTTGATAAATGGGGAGATTTCGTAGAATCCATGAGGTTTAAAGTAATCGAAGGTCTCACCGATGATAGGAAAGCCCATTGATCCCGGGGGTAACTTGCCATTAGACTTGGGGTTTGACCATTGGTACCACCAATGGCTAATCTTCACAACCACTAAGGCTATAACCCATAATCCTACAAACCACAATAAGCTCATGTTGTTGTGTCTTGAACTATGCACCATTTGGTCATATATATATGTCGAAACTTCAATAAAAAACTTACTGCCATTACGTAGATAGAAGAAAGTGCAAGTTATTAGCTAGGCTAAATAAAAATGTGAAAGTTGTGTGTTTTTATTGATTTTTCTGAGGTTGTTTACTAGTTTCCAAACTGAAGATCTTATGTGAGTGTGTCTTTTTATGACTATATGCATCGAATTCATACATATATAACGTATATAAATGGTAAACCAAAATACTTAGTCGGACAAATAAATAGCAGCCGTATGCTATAAAAATAATATACTCTCATAAATATATTAAATAAAATGATTGGTAGAATAATAAATGATTTATATATAAATTTATCTATAAAATTAATATATGATATATAATTTTTTATTTCTAAATAATAGAAATATAGTTATATTTATAATATATATGTCTAGAGATTAGGCCGGGGGGTTAAATCACTTTATTTATTTATTTAAAAGTTCACTCACTTTTAGCATCAAGCTGCATTAGTTTGTACAAAAGTCTTTTTTATTTGAATAAATTTAACATTTTTTCAAATTTTTATTTTTTATTGATAATACTAAATCATATTTAGCTATATTTTAAATGGGAATGTTATTCCTTTTAATAATTAAAATATTTCTATTTAAAGTATTATTTCTAAAATATAACTTTTTGGATACAAATTTAAATTTATGATATTATTAATAAAGTAAATAAATATTTTTAATTATTTAAAACTGAAACGTTCATAGCAAATCATTGAGTAAAGAAAATTTGGTGAATCTTTAAATTTTGTAAATAATTTTTAATAATTGTTGATTGGATAACTAAAAGCTGCTTATGCCAATATTAGTCAAAACCTTAGTGTCGGAATAACCGCAGAATGGTGCGTCAGTACTTGTAATATGACCACTGTTGATTAGTTCACCAAATGATTAAACTATGTCTGAATTATACTACATTACTACTAGATAAATAAGAGCACCCACATCAGTGAATCTCTGGATGGGAATTCACAACTTTTACTTCTTTTTTTAAAATTTTTTTTCCTTTTAATTTAAAAAAAAAAATTGATCAATCATGCACCGCCACATGTCGTGGAGTCCGCATAACAGTGATTATACAGATTCATCACCGTGAACTTCAACAATACATGTTCATGGTTTTGGCTTTATTATATATTTTTTTTTAGGAAGTCTGAGAGCACCCCTCATAAATTCTCAATGGGGTGCTCTAAGGTCGTCTAAAATAACGAGTGGCCCCAATGCGACATGACAAATAAGGTCCTAAAAGAGTATCTTCAACCCTGAGATGCTTAATTTTTTTTTTTGGTTTTATTTCTAAAAAAAACTTGAACGAATTGTGGATTGCCATGTATCAATGGGATCCACGAACTGTGCAAGCAACTAGCTAAATTTTAATCAAGCATTTTAAAAAAAGGTGTTTAAGATTTTATACATGATCCACTAAAAAAAGCAACAAACACCCCTTTAAATACTTCCATTGATCATGCTCTAATCCTACAAGTGTCAGACAATTAAAACAGGCCTTCATAATAGTTGATAACTTTTTTTTAAAGATATGCTGTTATATACATATATTTGTATTGATTTATTAAATAATAATTTAAAATGTTATATTAAAAATATTAATATATAAAGTAAATAAAAAATATGGAATATTTTATAACTCAAAATATGTTATACATAAAAGTACTAATGATACTATAATTATATTTTTCATTACGTTATTATTTCACTACTTTAGAAAGTTGATTATACCATAAATTTAACTAATAGGTACATTTCCTTTCATAACATTCATTATTTTATTAACTAATAAATTTTAAATAATTTGATAAATATAACCCCTTATACTAAGTACAAGTCACTTGGCAAATAAAAACTAGACATGTCATTATATTTAAAAAATTAAATTAAACTAACTTCTTAATTTTCAATTTTCCAAAAATTACATATAAAAAACGAAATCCTAAATTGTCTCATGCACTACTAACACGTTCATGTTTCTATCAAAAACTGTCATTTGCAAATTGTATTTAAAAGTCATGTCACAATTTCAAAACGTTTTAACTCTTATGTAAATTCAAACAACTAATTTATTCTCCCTGTTTCTTTCTTTTACAATTGTCTTCTACTCTTCTACCTCTCTTTTTTTTTTCTTTTGTTCTGAGTGTAGTAAATAAATGTGTACAAGTTTTTATTTCAGATTTAATTTTCTTCCATTTTCAATTCAGTGTTCTCTCTCATTCTTTTGAATTGTTTCAGTATTCAGGTTGAACATGGTACTTAAATATACTCAGATTTCTTCAAACAAGAAAGGAAAACTCAGAATTTTGTCAGCAATTTTAGGTAATAATATGTATATCTGAATCTGCTATATACAAATTGATTTACTAATCTGTTTGTTATGGTTTAACTATTTTAGAAATGTGTTTTTGTAACATAACATTTTCAACTGTTTAATTTTTATGCTTATGAGTCTATATATTATTCATCTGTTTTTTTTGTCTTAATGTTGAACTTCAAGATTAGTGATGACTACAAGAAAAGGCGACGGAGAAGAGTCCCAAAATGCAAGCTCAACCAAAAAAACTCAAAATGTGTTATATTTTATTTTATTCAGGCATTTATCTAAGTGATATCTTTATACAAGGCTTCAGATGTTTAAAGACTTCTGAACAAAAAGTTTCGATAAAATTTGTTGCACAAAAAAAAGTTTCGATAGAATTTTAATTTATATATTTTATTTTAGTTCAATTTTCTATTAAAATAAAAATTATTTTAAATTATTTCAAACCAAATACAAATAATTCTAATGGATCAAATACAGTAACATATTATCATGTGTTGGTATTTACAAATTCTTATTTTCTATAACAGTTGTTTCCAAACATGTTTCTATCTTTGGGAAACCTCATAATAATTGTTTTACCATCTACCTTAGGTCTCCATTTTATCCAGTTACAAAATGTTCCTAAGATAATATTTAGTTTAATATAAATAAAAAACAGAACACTAAAATTGGGTTAAAACATAATAATATTAGTGCAAACAAAAACTGACATGTGCGTCCGCAGGGGATGATAATACTAGTTCAAACTAAACCACTACCTAACCTCAGAAAATACTAGTGTAATTAATCAAAACAAAATCTTAGAAGTATATTAAGAAACAACTATTTGGAGCAAATAAATTTCATATAGTATGTTTTCTTATTTAAACCGATAAAGGTATCTTTCATATAGTTAGTCAAATCATGAAAGATATTGGGGGGGGGGGTGATAAGTGATTACACTGATTGGTAAGTAACTAATTAAGAGCAATATCAATGGTAGTTTCTTGCCATGAAATTCTAAAGTTATATATACACCAACATATAATTTTAGAATCCCATAGTGAAAATCTACTATTGGAAGTGTTCTATGGCTTCCTTTACCAGAGTCTGGCGATGGCATTGGAGATCGCAAGGGCAGTACAAACGGAATGTACATTTTCTGAGAATCAGCTTAGCAAATCGTCAGTGAGTTTATGTGTATGTCTATTACATCTTCAATGATTTTCTTTAAGTTGGCTCCTTTTTTTTTTTGGAATGAATTAAAATTTTATTCAATCAAAACTCTGTTCATCAAGTGCAGCTATGTAAGGAATAGTAGAAAATTATACTCTAAGGTATATGGAAAATGCTCAAGACGATTATTCCCTAGTTTCAAACCAAGTGAGCTGACTCTCTTTGAGGTACTTGTGTCCCAGTCTTCGAGGTACTTGTTGGCACCATTTTCGGTTGCCTCTTTTGGGCAATGATATCCTTTTAATATCAATTAATCGATTACAAAAAAAATATTTCCTTTAATTGAAAAGTGAATAGAAGAGTTCAGAAAAAAAGAGCTGGCCTTAGAGCAGCCGCAACGCAAATATTTAAGTGATCATTAACTGTTGAAAAATTAATAAATTAATCATGCAGTTTCACCTTTTTAGGTTATTGTGCCATAAAAATCTCTTGTATTCCTTGAATAAGGATCAATTCGTACGCAGTATCGTTACTATTCACGTGTTACAAATTGTTATTCCCTTTTTTCAGCTTAAAAAAAAAAGAATAATAATAAAAAAAACCTAATTACTGTGTCTAAGAATTTGTGTCCAATCTTACTATTGCTGGTGCTCTTTAGTTTTCAAAAAGCAAAACAAAAGAGCTGGCCATCAACGGATTTATAAAAATAAAATAAAGATCGGTCATGACAACATCATTACCTTGTACCGCGTGCCATGTAAAAGTATGATTGATTAATAGTTAGTTGTGGACGATAAAGACAAAAAATCGTTGTAACTTGTAAGAGATGTGAAATCTTTTGCAATCTAGAGAGCCCACAACAATTAGGAGTTAGTTATTCATGGGTTAACATCCTGAATATCTAGATTCATCATCCAATAGGATTGTATCATTTCATATTTTTGATATTTTAAAAAAAAAAAATCCCGTTAAATTATATTATGCTTTTAAAAATAAAAATACAAAATAAATAAAAAATAAAAATAATTAATAAAAACGAAAATAATTTATTTAAAGAAAATATTTAACACTAAACCCTAAACTCTAATTCTAAACCCTAAATCCCTGGATAAATTATAAATTTTTGGATAACTTTTAGAAAAAATTCTTTAAAAAATATTTTAACACTAAAACACTAAACCCTGAACTCTAATCCTAAACACTAATCCCTAAACTCTAATCCTAAACACTAAACTCTAAACTCTAATCCTAAACACTAAATCCTAGGTAAATCATAAACACTAAACCATACTCTAATCATAAACCCTAAACCCTTGGGGAAATCATAAACACTAAATTTTGAAAACACTATAAGATTTATCCAAAAGTTTATGATTTACCCAGGGATTTAGGGTTTAGGGTTTATGATTAGTTGAGGATTTAGTGTTAAAATATTTTCTTTAAAAAG